CACGCCATGGTGCCGCCACTGCCTTGCCATTCACTGCACAAATGGACCAACCTTGCCGCGGATGGATTCCTGATGGGAGGTCGATTGAGGAAGCCTGCCCGGTAGCAGGGTCCACCACCAAAACCTTCTCAGCATTGCGAGGTGCCGCCACTGCTCTGCCATTCACTGCACAAATGGACTCAAATTTCCAACCTTGCTCCGGATTGATTCCTGATGGGAGGTCGATTGAGGAAGCCTGCCCAGTAGCAGGGTCCACCACCAAAATCTTCTCAGCATTGCGAGGTGCCGCCACTGCCTTGCCATTCACTCCACAAATGGACGCAAACTTCAGACCTTGCGGCCGACTGATTCCTGATGGGAGGTCAATGGCGGTCACAAAGCTTTGTCCCATGGGTTGCTAGGTCCACTAGGCCCGAGCTATCCGAGCTCTCAAAAATATGGACGGCAGAAGCGGAAGCAACGGCAAGTCTACAGGAAACAAATCCAACTGATTTGCCTAGGCCTAGAAATTGTCCTCATCCGTGCAATACAAACCTTGGAATCCCCCTCCACCCTCTCTCACACACACGTGCTACTATAAAAACTCCTTGTTCAATCTCATGCCATCACATGCTTCCCATGGTTTTGGACAACTTTCGACTTCAGCTTGGAAGGGAAGCGTCACTGCCCGGTAGCTTTCAACCAAACAAGTGCATGTCTGTAGGACGTCGCTTTTTGGGGGACCCATCGCTTCCCCAAGCTTCTGCGGGCAGCGACACACCTTCTGCTCAACATATACCGCGTTTTAGCTTGCTCACATGGCTCACATGAAGTCCAGCCTCCCAACCTCGTTTTGATCGCGTCGTTGATGAAGACCTGTGTAGTCGAGTCAGCGATCACGCAAATGCACACGCTTCAAACAGCTGTGAGGACATGCGTCAGCAAATTGAATAGAATGACATGGAACCACTCTGATCACGACCGAGGCCAACTTTGGGCAAAATGTAAATTCTGTGTCTCTGACTTGATGGTTAGGCCACGATGGACTGGACATCTAAACCATCCTGACAGTAAGAGTAAACGAGCAACCTCCTCTACCAACCTCCGACCCCTCACATCCTCTTCCTGAAGTTCCTTCTCCTTGAATTGCCCCTAGTGGTGCGCACCTCTTCTGCAAGATGCTCTTCAGCGCCCTGATTCCTTCTTCCGGAGCTCCTTCAGTCCACAGGCATGGACTCCTGGGTGACACAGGCCATTGGTCTGATGAAAGTTAACACCAAGTAGCAAGACATGGGCTGGGTGGGCCACCTCTGCAGCTAAAACACTGCATGTCTTGGAGAGCCTACAGGGCGTGGGGAATATGATGGAATCTTCCAAGTGGCAGGAGAGCCCACCATCCCGAAGCACTGCCGAATTAATGAAAGAATGGCGTCGAGTCTAGCGTCAATCATGACCTGCAATGAAATTGAAATTGATCGTAAAAGTGCAAATAAAAACGAGATAGTGACAGGGTTTTCCTTGAACCGTGTGGAATGGCAGTGAGGCCTCGTTCATGAGGTGAAGACCTTGCCCAATTGAAATAAACAACATAAACAAACCCCTATGCGGTTGTGCGGTCTGCGTTTGTACGAGTATCTGCGAAGGTGGGCACTAGGTTTCTCGATGTGTTTAAATATGTTTATCTGCACGTGATCTATCGGTATAGAGGTCCTCCATCTTGAAACGCACCTCATCGCTTGTTGCTCGTCCGACCTCCGGATCCATCCATCCGGATCCACCGGAGGGGCCTTCCAAGCGCTGCACTGGCGCTTCTGCTGCGTCACCAGAAGTCCCGGTGCGTGGAGTGTTGGCCAAAGTGCCGCAAAAGCACCGGCCGCAGCTGGGGTTGCCACCAGGCCTGGATGAGTTGGCATTGGGTCTTTTTGCGCCACACCCAGCTCATTCACTTCTCACGCACCCTCCAGCCCATGCACCTCTAAGTTGGCTTCCAAAGAGCGAGACTCCACTTACATGCCCCGTGGTGAGGCAACTGCAACAAGAGGGAAGGAAGGTACAGTAGTACTTTTGAAAATAAGTCCACGCGTCAGCATACTTCAGCCATGTTCGCCCATGACTGCCCTGCTGGTTTCACTCGGGATCTTGTGCGTTGAGTTTGCGACCGTTTGAGCATGGTTGCCTCACACGGCTTCACATCGACAAAATTTGCCCAAAGCCTTTTCGCCATCATGTCATGCAAAGATTGCCTATGACACTTCGTGGTCCAAGAGATGTCACTGGTCAGGTCTTATCAGCCATCACTGAGTCACCAAGTAAACGCCAGGCCCAACAACATGGTGAAGGATAAGGTCAATCGGTCAATCTCTTATTTCCGTAGTTTGGTCATCTGGTGCTAAGGGACTCTAGCACGCGAAGGCAAAAGAACTGAAGATACTGAAGTATAATCAAATCCATATTCCACTCCTTGTTCTTCTTCTTCTTCGTCGTTTTCTTCATCATGGGGCCATATTGTGAACATTTCGCATCATCCACAGCCTGTAGCACTCACAATGCATTCCGGTCAAACGCTCGCGCCTGGAGGCCTTCAGGCGGTGCCATAAGCTTGGGCAGCCAATCCAAGGGCGCGCGGTCGAAGTTCTGCTTGACGAAGGAGGCGTAGCCTTGGAGGTCTCAGGCGGATGTGGTTTCTCCTTCCCCCATAGCATCGGGCAACTGCTGGCCTGACTGGAATGAGGCAGCATGGAGACCTGGTGAGCTTCCTTTTTGGGGCGTGTGCCGGCGTGTGCCATTTATAATCGTTAAGTCACTTATAGGGGTTGATTCCACACTGAATGGTGGTGCCCCCATGACGTCTGCCAATAAGGTAGCACTACCACCAGGTCCGGTCGAGGTGCTTGAAAGCCAAGCACCATTGTAGAGCAGGGTGCCACCACCGCCCCAGCCTTCAAGTTCCAGCGTGGGATGGTGGTAGAATCTGGTAGAATCATGGCATGGGTCATGGATAGCACTCCTTTTGGTTACGTATCCGTATCCGTTATCGCCAAATGATGTGTGGGGTTCGCAGCTAAAAGCATGCATGTTCATCTCTGAATGGCTACGGCTATGGGTTCGATGATGTCTTGCCCCATTCCATGATTCCCGCAAGGAAAGATATAAGAACATCCCAATTCAATAGATGTTGCCATGTGTTGCCCCAACCGATCATGATTCCCACAGGGAACACCTCACCTTATAAGAACATCATGGCTGGTGGGTGTAGGAAACACGCAGCAGCCTCATGGGAGTCCCGACATCTCCTGGATCCAACTAGCTTCATGAATATTCATGCAACCCGCATGGCATGGCACAGTCTGATGCAGTCTGCGGTTACTCCCTGGCAAACAAACAAGACACAAACAAGGAAAACATGTTCCCACAAAGTTCCATTTGGACGGCTGGATGCGTACTTCCACTCAAAAGCTTCTGCCAGGACTTGGATGCTGGCCCATGTCCACCTATTCAAGTATATATAAATAGTTATATATATATATGTATATAAGTATATAACCAAAGCCCAGTAGATCCATGCCACCTTGGTGCTTTTCCCAGCAAGTCCACTGGCCTTGGGTTCCCCAAGTCCAGGTCCGTTGATCCGCGTCGCGCTCGAAGCCCAACAGCTGTAGCACCAGCCAGTCCTGGACAGAAATGTGGCAAAGTGGTGGTGGTGGAGGAGGAACTATTTCATCCACCACTACTGAGGGATTCCAGAATTCACCACTGACGTTGAGCAGTTTAGCATTGTTTGGAGTGTTGGTTCACTTGTGAGCCACATTGCCAGGCAAGTTTAAGCAGATTGAAACCTGTTTGGTTCTTCCAAGTCAACACCTCGACTTCCTGCACCCATCGTTTTCACATGTCTTCATGCTCCACGCTGGAGTTCCTTCCGCTGCCCATGCTGCTCGAGCCAACTCCTCAAAAGCTGGCCAAAGCCTTGCGCAGGGCGGGCGCCGGCGACCCCAGTAGATCTGGACGTGCGGCAAGCCAAAGCTTCAAGTGATTCTAACAGGAGAGGTGCAACTCTGTGCTTTGTTGCTGATGGGCATGGGGCAACCTGAAAGACTACCTGAAAGCTGCACTTTCTCGACACCCAACTTGGCTGGGGCACACCAGGCACTTTGGAGCACATGCGATTTGTAAGTGCACTAGCAAGGAGTCCAACCAAGAAGCGCCGTAGTACACGAAGCAAACTCCAATGGACTCACCAACAAACCAACCCTCTGGGCCTGGCAGTAGTTCCACATCGTCCTCCAGCCAAAGCGCATGTCGCGTGAGTACCAAGGCTTTGTCGTCCAAAAGGGCCTTAGTACAAGACTCTGCAAGACCGAGACGTTGAAGGACAATGTCTTCATTCAAACCTGTCCTCTCCTGCCTTGCCTGTTTACTCAGACTTCCAATTTCCAACCAAATGGCCTTGAGCGATCTCTCTGAGGATGCAGGGGCCAACATCGATTGTACAGCCACTATTTGCCAATGATTTGCCAAATGCATGATTAAAAATGCATGACACCAGGCTCGGAGAACTTTACGATGCAAAAGGGACGTGAAACCAAGTTAAGTACCGTAAGTACCGATGAAAACAAAGACAGTCAAGCCGCCTTACAGCAACCAACCTTTATTGTCGCGGCCTGATTGACTTCACAAAACGCGATGTTTCTGCATTAAGCAAAGCCAATTAACAGCTCCACAAGAACAACAACTTTGACAAATGGCCGTCTGGATCGCGCTGTGAAAATCCAAGACCAGTCGGGAGCGCCAAAGGACTTTCCTCAACTGGCAAAGGAGAAACAAAAAAAATAATTCACAACTCAAAAGGTGTCCTGGAATCACTGCTTACCAACCACGCTCGCCGACCGACACATGCGATACATTGCCTCGGCACCTCGACGACTTGCTTCCAAGCTGCTCCAGCGGATCTCCAAAGTCTTGCCTGGCGGGGACCCCAAAGGGCCACCAACTTCTTGTAATTTGTTCACTGCATGATATGAAGTGACATGCTTTGTGAGATGTTGTCACTAGCATTTGATACAATTTGACTACCAATGGATAGCTGTCTGTCGCAATGTCCAAACATGAAGGTGCTTTTGTCTTTGTCCTTATTTGACCGCTTGCCTCCCTGCACCATCCTCCAAACCGACGGATCTCGGGGCCTCAAGACCGACGGATCTCGCAGCTCCGGGTGCTTCGCCCTCTCTTGGTAGCGCGCTCGGGTGCCGATCCTCGCGCCCAGCGTGTGCAAGGAGGTGGCCGTCGCGTCTCCTCAAAGCAGCTCCGTCAAGTCGGCCCAGTGTGGTTACGAAAGTAGATGGCTCAGTTCTCAAAAAAGGCATATGGAATCATAAGGGATCATAAGGGTATAATTGCAGGGTATATACTGTA